AAATCTTGTTGCTTGAAAAACATGCAGTCTCATCAGTGCTTTTTCTCAAAATAACCATCCTACTTCAGAATGCAGCAGAAGCGCTTTATAAGGCATATGTCCTGTCTTACAAAACATTTAACAATCATAAACCCAAGGATAGAGAGTTTATGAAATTATTAACATGTATTACTTTTTTTTTTGGAGAGGTTTTCGCTAAAGGGCGCATGTGCACTCCAGACAGACAGAGAGAGACATAGAGACAGAAAGCAAGAAATCACCCCCCAGGGAGGATGGTCACCCCGCAATCCCTTCTCCTCCATTCTCCTTTTGGGATCCTGGGCATGCACGCGCACGCACCTGGTGTGAGTTTTAAGCCACCAGATCCGAGACGCGAACTGCAGTCGACTACGTGGGAGTCCAGCGACATAGCCATTACGCCAACTGCTGGTTCCCAACATGTATTACTTTCAGTTGAAAAATTTAAATTGCAGTTTCCTACAGGTGATGAAATACAGTGTTTTCCATTGAAAAGTGGGTGGAAGTTTTTTAATTTGTGCTGATGCTTCAGGATTTTTGTCAGCCATTGCTTTTGCACCATCAGATGCTGTGATTATGGATATATAAGGTCACAGAATTAAAACTGTGTCTTAGGTTTGTTAAATATGAAATCCCTTTGACTTTGTACTTCCTTTAAGTGTCTTGTGGGGGATTGAGTACAGCTTTTATAATGGAATGTTGCTTTATATGTAGTTCTGGGATCTACCATATTTTTCTTCATTTTTTTATCATCTGTTAATTTAAGTATACTTGAATGATAAGCTTTCAGGAATACATGTGTATAATTCTTTCCTTTGAAAGGTGCAGAATCTTACAAACATTTTAAAGATAGGTTAAAAATCTTGCCTTTTGGGTTCTGTTAAAATTCTTGAATGAAGGCACCTCATGAAGGTGGAAACTTTAGAATTGTCTAGGCCAACTTAACCACTACTTTCTGCATGACCTTGAGTAAACTGTTCAACAGCTCTGTGCCTCAGTTTTATCTTCTCTGAAATGAGATAGCAGCAGGCCTACCTCATGGGGTTGATTAAATAATTTAAAACTGAGTTTTCATCCATCGTTTGATCACACTACAGTGTTTGGGATAATGGTTACTAATAAGTAGTGTCACTTTAAACCATAACTTCTAATTTTTGTGAAGTAGAGTATCATTAAAATTTGTTTATTCAAAATCACACATTTATCAATTCAACTTAAAATATATTAGTAAGTGGACCAGGAGGTGACATGGTGGTTTAGAGAGGCGGATCCCGCATGGCTACCTATAATACATGGTTTGGGTCCTGAACCCAGTGGCTTGAAATCTATACTCAACAAATGTGCCTACATGCCCAAAATTCCAAGAGGAGAGAAGGGATTACAGTGTGGCCATTCTCCTTGGAAGATGATTTCTCACTTTCCTTGTGTCTTTCTCTGGCAAGCACAAGTACCCTATGACAAAAACCTTAAAAAAATGTGTGCGTATATCTATATTGTATGTATCATATGAATACATATAAAGTAATTGATAGGAAAAGTAAAGGTCTCATGCAATGCTTCTAGGGTAGCACAATTGTAGTAAAATTCTTAAAGTGATTCCACATATCGATGTTTGTTATATTAAGTGATAAGGAGAAATACCGTCTAAATTTCAGTTTATAAAATCATCTTAAATTCAATCTTTGCCTTTTTAAAATTTTACTAAATGGATGAAGCAGTGAGCTTTTAGAAAATAATAGCAATCTGAAGACATGACTAGGAAGCTAAAAACGTCTGTTGCTTCTAAAATATTTATAAAACGATCATTAGACAGTATTCTTTTTCTTAAAACTTTAAAGTTGCATAAAATGGTATTCAGTAATTTTAAGATACTTCCAACATTGGGCTAGTGGGTGCTGTATTGATTAGGGCACTGTACTTCAGCGTGGCTGATCACCCTTTGAGTCCCAGACCTGGTGACTTCCATTCTCACTTTCCCTGTCTGTCTTGTCTCTGGTGAGTGCATATGCACTATGGCAAATTAAAAATGCTGATGATAAATATAATTAAAAATTCTTTTTTAAAGGGATACTTCCAACATTAATAAATATGAGTGTACATGTGCTTAGTGAAAATTCTATAGCATGCAATATGAATTGGTATTTTAATATAGTGATAAGCTATATCAGCATGGCATATTCTAAGATATTTTAGTTATCTGAAGAAAGATATATTAGAACTCAAGCCAATTTATTAACAAGAGAAGTGAACTATACTGACTGTTGGATAGTTGACTTAAATCCATAGATTTTTTCATTATGTTAGTAATTTTCTCACGACATTGATGATAAAAATGGATTTAATCATACTAATAGCAACATTGCTAATGGAGCTAAACAGTATTATTATATAATGTGATATATAGAGCTAAAAATATAGAGATGGTAAAAAAAGATTTTGTCCCTTCCCCCTGCCAATGAATCATAGGCCTCTGGTATTTAAGTATTTAAGGTATTCAAGAGGTATTTGAAAATTGAGGTTTCGGGACTGGCCGATGGCGTGATGGTTAAAGGGTGCTGGACCTCGCACATGACTGACCAGTTCGAGTCCTGGTCCTGGCAGCTTGCTTTCTCACTCTCTCTGTCTCTGTCTCTTTCTGTCCCTCTCTGGTCAAATTAATATTAATAAATGGACAAATAAAGTTAAATAAAATAATTTCTTTTTTGAAAAATAGAAGTCTCAAACAGACTATAATAACTCACCATCTGTTATTGGTTAGACATTGCTTTCTTCACCTTACACCGTAGAGGCAAATCCAAAAGCATAATTATAAATCAAACTCTTTGCTTCAGAAACATAATCATAAAATTCATGTTTTTTACTCTATGATACTAGAATGTAATGCGTTTCTCAGTAACAAATACCTACTGTAAATAATGACGAGATGATTGTGGATGTGCTAAGGCATTCATGTTACCAGCAGGTTCTGGTTAATGTTGAGGAAATGGGTGCTTGGTTTGATGCATTGAGAGTAGTAAGATAAGTGTTTTAGAAGAGCTCAAAAAAAATTTTTTTTCTTTTGCTGTAGGGTTTGTGGTTTCGTCAGAGACAGACCGAGAGAAAGAGAGAGAAGGTCAGAAATCACCCCTCAAGGGGAATGGCCACTCTACATTCCCTTCTCCATTTTCCTTTCTGGGTTTTGAGCATGCACTCATATGTGCCTACTGTGTTTCTCAAGCCACCAAGTCCAGGGTTTGAACCTCACAGTTGACCATGTGAGATCTAGCTACCTTAACCACCATGCCACTGGCTGACCCCCTAAGATAGTTGTGTCTTTTTTGCTTGTTGGTTGTTTTTTTCATATAATGCTTGATCCGTTGCCAATTGTTTATAGTCCAGCTTTTTTGAGGGGGAGGAGGGAGAGGTTTTTGTCGTAGGGCGCATGCGCTTGCCAGAAAGACAGAGAGACAGAAAGCAAAGGCTGCAATCCCTTTTCCTCCATTCTCCTCTTGGGATCTTGGGTACTCACACACACGCGCCTGGCGTGAGTTTAAGCCACTGGGTCCAGGACTCGAACCATGGTCGACTACATGGGAGTCCAGCTACATATCCATTATGCTAACTCCTGGTCCCTATAGTCCAGCTTTTTTGTAGATCAATAATGATCTCCTCTAATAGGCAACATCTTCATCAGAAGAGAAAAATATGTTTTAAGACAGTTAAAACAAAGCTTTTAGAAAAACTTGGTGTTTAGAGTTTCCAAACAATGGGACAGTATTCCAGTTTTTTATGACCTGCTTTTGTAACATTATAGCTTCATTTACGATTACCTTTGGCCATCTCCATTTAGGTTAGATGGTCATTTTTATAGCCGCATTTGCTGTCATAGCATGTATGGTTTCATCATGGGCTTTTGTTTCCTTTATTTCCAGTTTTATAGATGGTTTTCACTAGTAGTTTGTATTTTTTAAATGGAATTTAAAATGATTGTTTAGATTTTAATAAAACTTTTTAAAAAAGTTAACATGCTTTCTTTAGATTTAAATATTTCAATAATTATGCTTTCTTTAGATATAATTAGTACCTATTTCATGTCAGAATGTTTTTTATAATTGCTACTTTTAACACACTGGTCCAAAATTGAAAATGGTCATCAAATCAAGTGGAAATTATAATTTTATTATATTATCTGCAGTAATTTTACCAAAAGAATATCAAAGTTAATTTTATCTAACTATTGTTAATAAATGAATTTTTAGGAAGCAGTTTCTGCAGTGATTTTTCAGATATTTGAATATTTGAATGACTTACCATGTTGTGTTTAACCTCAAGAATTCATTATTTCAGAATTTGCCAACTGTGTAACACTTTCATTCAGGGTTTCAAGCAAAATCATTGGTCTATTAAAGGAAAGCAAAGGTGATGACTTCTGTGGTGTATTTATAGGTCCTAGGTAGAATAATGCATGGGTAGTTAAGTAAAAATGCAGGACTGAATTATATTACTTAGTAAGAAATGTAACTTTATTTTTAGCTTAGTGGCCTACAGCTGTTTTGCATTTTATGTTTGACTACATTTCAATGTAAGCATGCTAACAGTCATTTCTATTTGAAGACGTAAGTGATTTGAAGACGTAAGTGACCTGGAAGTAAAAAATAATTGTCTCTCATGTTTCTTAGTACTAAATTTTACTTTGCTTGACATCTAAGCATGTATCTTTGATGTGTTGGAATAAAAATATTAAAAATAACTGTAGCAGATTTTATGTAATCTAGCTCATTGAATCTTGGCAATATAAAGTGGGCACTCTAAGTTCTTATATATTTAAGCCGTGGAGACTAAAGTTTCTTTTTAGCATTCTTACTAAGTAAATGATGTTGGAAAATATCAAAATTTTTAATGGAAAGTGATGTCCCAATTCACTCTCTTCTTTTTGATTTTAGATGGGAAATGTAAAGTCATAAGATCAATAGGTTGACTGTGACAACTATGTTTACTTACAGAGAGAACAGGAAATGAGAATGGGTGATATGGGTCCCCGTGGAGCAATAAACATGGGAGGTAGGGATTTGAAGTAAAAGCCTTGTGTAACTTGTAATTCTTCGGGAGACTGTGTATGTTGTTTATGGTATCTGCATAACAGTAAGAAACCAAAATATGGAACCAACACTTATAAAGGTGAAATAGTTTACATTTATTAAATTGAGATAAAATAGTTATAGTAAAAATATATGCCTCTGAAGAAATTTTTCATTTTATTTGAAGACTAAAAGATGGATTATGTTTTCATTGGTTTACTGAAAGAAACCTGCTAATATAAGGCAGGTTTTGATACAGCCTGAAATTAGTTTCAGTCGTTGTATGATCCAATACAACTTTGTCATTACACTTCTAACATCAAATTTCATGGGTTTATAGTGTTCTTTTTACCTAGAAATTGATAGTTTCTGATATGTACTATTTTAAACTTTCAGAGCATTTCATAAGTTATTATTTTTTTAAATTTGTCAAAGGGCACGTGCACTCACTGGAGAGAGAGAGCACCATGGAGCATAGTCATACTCCAGTGCCATCTCCCATTTTTCCCTCCTTTTGGATTCCAGGCACATACGCAGATCTGCCTGACATGTTTTTCAAGCCTCTAAGCCAGGACTACTTGATTGAGTATGTGGGATCCAGCTGCTTTTTAATCACCAGGTCGTGAGCTGGCCCATAAATTTCCATTTTAAATTAGCATTTTGTATAACTTCCAAACTAATTTTATTCACTTTACTGAATATTTAGTCCTTTCTCCTTTACCATAGTATTGTGCACAAAAGCACACGTTTGACCTCTATGACTTGTCAAGGAAATTAGATGTGTCTTTAGAGTTGATGTAGTTTTTAAAGAAAGTGTCTATAATTGCAATTGTAATACTGATTGACTTCTGTATAGCTAGGTAGTCAGGGAAGTAGTACCAAGTAAATAAGCTGAGGAGAAAATAAGTGTGGAGTATCATAGGTGTTACTAAATCTGAAGTGGTATACGTTTTAAAAAATTGGATGATGAATTCAATTTTATATACTCATTTCACTTAAATTGTCCTGCAGAAGATGTAACGTAAAATCTTATTACATATCACAAATTTGCATACTGTTTTAAAGATTGCATTGTTTTGGCATTGAATATATATAGCATGGATGATTAAAAATACGGTATATTCCTAGGATATGTAGCGTGTGAAATAAAATTTGGTAAGACATATAAAGAATGCAATGAGCATTTTTCATGATCAGTTTTTTAAAAAATACCTGATGCCAGTTCTTCACTACTGTTCAGATCACTTTGAATCTTTGTTGCTGTTGGTCAGTTTTCTTTCTGCCACCAAGTGGTTGCTGAGCATCTCTCACGTGCAAAGAATGCATAAACATGACCCTTGTCCATAAATAATTCAATAATGAAGATAGTGCAGTGGATACATGAAATAATTAGTGAGCCAAGAGTATATAAGTTCTAAATTACGAGGCAAAGTTGAGTATGTGGTAATGTACTAGTGGTTCTGTATTTATGTCTTTTTCAGAGTAAATTCTGGGATGGTATATAAAATAATACTTATGGTTTTAAAGATTGTAAGAGTGAGTTTATTACAGATTTTAGGCAGTTTGAAAAGTCATTAATCATTAGATTGTTATTAACATCAGAACCAAACTTTAAAATGGTACAAAATTTAAAACATTTGTGATGGTGCAGAGAGACTTTGAAATTATTTTTTGTTTGATTAGCAACTTTATCAGAAAAATAGGAGAATACACCTTTAGATTTCTTATTAAGTTGGCAATTTAAGGGAACTTAAAAATGTTAGGACATTTTATTCATGAGGGAACCATATTTACATTTATTCTTCCAAAGTTAAGTTCGTTTAATTTTGTCTTCTCTAGACTTTGTTCAGTGTGAGATTTCAATGTGAGACTTTATCATGATGACTTACTAAATAATTACTACTTCCAGTTTGGTGGCTGTTGTAGTGGATATATCTGTCATATTCCATCAAGTTACATTGATAGCATGTAGCAGTATATTTTCTAGTGTATCACCATCATTTATAGCAGATGAAAGGTAGATAATAAAATTGCTTTTCAAGTAATCATATACTAACATTTCTCAAGTTTATAAATTTAATTTTTTTATCGCCATGTTGTAGAATATATAAGTACTGAACGTAAGACTCTGAAGTCAACTACTGATAGTTGGAAAATTTTTTTATGTGTGCCTATAGTTGTATAGTTATTTTTTAAACTAAACACACAAGTTAAATGTAGTAATTATTGTTCTATTAAAGAGAAAAAGAAAAAACTTAACCCTTAATGCATTTTTTTTGGGCGGGGGGAAGTAGAGATAAGATGCCTCCTGGAGACTATTATCCACCCTTCCTCATTCTAGTTTGTGGAAATACATTAAAAATGACAGTAGCTATCCTAAGGGAATGATAGAAGTATTCTCGGATAAAGTGTGAATTTTTTAGTAAGAACATCATGGCATTAAGGAAGCAAGTTCTTCCTGTAAAGTTCCTAGGCTCCAGAGAATTGTTTTAGAAGAGCAGTAGTGTGATGCCACAGACTGGTAGAGAGTAAGACCTCTTCCTCACAGCTACTGTCTTAAGACTAAGCCATAGAGAGTTCTGTTGCTTTAGGCGTTAAGTTAATTAATTCAATTAATTTGTTTTATTAATTAAAACTTCTTTTTATCATGTATACTTGAGACATCAAGTTCTGAGTGTCAGAAAATTCATATATATTATGAAATAATAGAAGAAAACCCTAAATTAGAATCAATCTTTTTAGGAATTTTCAATGATAATTCTAGTACTTATAGAGAAACAATTCTTCAAAGAAAATACCTAAAAACACTTGAGTTTTAGGCACATCACATATGTTCTATTACAGCTCAGACACAGTTGATTTGCTAGATTGATATCTTTTTAATGAAACATTTGAAGTATATCTGACCATCTCCATTTCTAGAATTTTTGCATATGAGAAAAATCCTGCTGCATTACTATTTTAATCTGTAATTGGTTACAGTTGCTTTTAAAAGTAAGTTTTGTCATGATGAGGCTGTTGGGTTTTTGTTTAGAGTACGTATTTCATTACAAAATTTAAATAGCACCTTCTGTAATTTTTGGAGGTATTCAGTAACTATTTAAAAGTCAAGGGGTTAGTTACAGTGACCTTGATATATATTGCAGGAAATCGTTCCTTAATGTAATTTTTATGCCAATATTTTTAGCCATGACTTTAAGAAAATTAAGTGGTTTCCCAATGCTAATCCTTTGTTCATTTAAATTGGTAGTATGTAGTTACCATTGCTAGGGATTATTTGGTTTTAAAGCATACTATAGGAAATAATTCTGATGTTTATAATTTTCAAATTTATAATCTCAAATATCCAAAAATAGTTGATACTTGACATTGGTTTATGCACATTTGTTTTGGGGATGAAAGTTATAGAAGTTAATATTCTTTTGCAGAGCAGGTAATTGAGTGTCTCATTCTCAAGGAAAAAATGATCTTGATAATAGTTTCATGTGTATATTGCATAAATATTGTAAGTTTTTAATGTTTGCTCAACTAAGCTAGGACAGCTCTAAGTATAGATTGTTTTACGTAGATGCGTTTAGCCCAGCACCTACTGGTAACCAAGGTCCTCCTCCAATGATGGGTATGAATATGAACAACAGAGGAACTATACCTGGCCCACCAATGGGTCCTGGTCCTGCCATGGGACCAGAAGGAGCTGCAAATATGGGAACTCCAATGATGCCAGATAATGGAGCAGTGGTAATGTATCATAAACATTATTTTGATTATATTCAGTAATATACTCTTTTGCCCCAAAGATAACTTCACACTTAACATAATTTGGCATCATTCACTCTTAACATGTTTTGGCAGTAGAGGTCAACGGCCAGTGAAGACAAAGTGATTTTGTGAAGTTATGTGTGGATTTATGAAAGACAATTTTTTTTTTAATTGTCAGTGGGTGTGTGCACTCACCAGAGAGAGGGAGAGAACAAACAAGCACCCCTGATAGGATGTGGTCACACTGCAATAATTTTTCTCCATTTGTATATCCTGTTGGTATCTTTGGCTCGCACGCACACGTGACTCTGGTGTGTTTTCAAGGCATCAGGGTCAGGATTGAAACTGGTGGTTGACCGTCTGGGATTGAGTTCCCAGAGTATAGTGCTTGCCACTACAGTATGTTCGGCCCATGAGAGATAATTTTTAATTAGCCAAAGTGTTAGGATAATCATACATGGTATGCTTTTGTACTTTAATATATAACAAATATGTTGTTAATTGAGCTTATTTTTTCAGTGCTTTTATTTAGTATCCTCCTTTTCCTAGTATTCAATGTAATGGCAAGTATTTTAGGATTGTGTTCTCTTCCTTTACATTCAGTGGGGACGAAACCCCAATATGTGTGAACTAAAACTTACTAAACTAGACCATTTTTAGTAAGCATTTTATATAGAAAGATCTCATGTCATGATTTATTTTAAATAATTTAACTGGAAAGTAATCAACAAAGTTTTTTTTTAATAATTATTTTATTTTTAACTTTTATTTATTTATTTTAATTTGACCAGAGAGGGACAGAATGAGAGAGAGAAAGTGAGAAAGCAAGCCACCAGGTCCCGGACTTGAACCATGGTCAGCCATGTTGGAGTCCAGCACCCTTAACCACCATGCCATCTGCCGGCCCCAACAAAGATTTATTTTATAATTTAAATTTACATTGCTGGGTTCTTTTCACGGAGTAGTTATGTTTGTTACCCGATTTAAATAAGACGGTTTTTGTCCTGATCTGAGAGTGTGAAGATATCTTTATGTGGGTTAAATATAAAAACAAAGGCTTTTTAGTTGTAATTATTATATTTTTATATCAGTAGCAATACTCTGAAAACCTTTTATCATTTTCTTTAAAGTTTGTCCCTTTAAATGAGGCTTTCTATTGGTAAAACATTTTATTTGGTATTTGTTAATGGTTGTTCGAAATAACATTTAAAGTAAAAAATTGGCAATTGTATATTTCAAAAAGGTAGTTTAGGATTACCATATCAAGTCTTAAGGCACCATTGCTAAGAAAGAAAAGGCACTGCCTATTAACTCACATGTGATATCAAGTAAGTCCATCATGACCACAGAGAGTGAAAGTTTAAAAAATAATGCATCTTAGAATGGTGATTGCAGTGTTAATCATTTTAAAATTTACATACTACAAATGCAATCTTTTAAGAATTTGGAAAAATTGGACATGCTGACAACTGAGTTTTTTGCTTTACGTGATAGTTTGTACTGGGCAGCTAAGAGGCAGTGCTATAATATGTTCTGTAAACTGAAGTGTGGGCTGCAGTTCATGCATTTGTTTCCTTTAGTAGAGATTTTGTTTTGTAGTAAAATGTCTGACAGCTAGTAAAAAACTAACAGTTTTGGTTAAATTTCTTTGTAGCATATAACCAATACTAGCTTAGAAATAATATTAACTGTCCCCTTTTTCTACCCCTCTCACTGAAATTGTAAACTTGATTTAACACCCTTCTTGGTCTTTTTTGTATTGACATTTTACTAGTACACTTGGAAAGTTTTATTCAGACTTTGAGGTTAATATGTGTGGTTATTGTGAAGTTTTTCCAGAATACGTGATTTGAATGTTTAATGATATTAGAAGTAAATGTTATAAAATTATCAAATTTTTAAAACTAAATTTATTTTTCCAATAATAATCTTTCAAGGAAAATACCTCAAAAGCTTTCATATTGTTATCTTATCACAGTTCTTTGTGTTATGTTTGTACTAGTGCTGTCTTAAGATTGGTGTTGAAATACTTAGAATGTTTACTTTTTAAAAACAGAATGTGATGCTGCTCTCCACTTATATTTCTCTGCATTAAATTTTATTTTCATACACAGTGTAGTTTCATGCAATAAAAGCTTTCAAAAAAGGATCAGAGCAGCATTATAATATTGATCAGGCTTAAAATAGCATTTGCTTATGTCATAAAATTCATTTCTTTTAAATGAAATTGGGGCATAGCATTAGTAATATGTAAATCTGCAGATGCTGCTTTTTTCTTTTTTTTTTTTTAAACATAGTAACTAATTAAATTGCTCCTTTCTTCCTTCTATGTGTGATCCTGATTCTGCTGGACTTTCTGCTGAACTTCATGACATCACCACTTGGGATTTTGCCAATTTTTCTTGTCACTTATATTTGGCGTGTTCCAAATGGACTTTATATATTCTGTGGTATTATAGCACAATGATAGATTTCCTCAAGGACCACCATCTCAGATGGGCTCACCCATGGGGAGCAGAACAGGTTCCGAAACCCCTCAAGCACCTATGAGTGGTGTAGGACCTGTGAGTGGTGGTCCTGGTGGATTTGGTAGAGGAAGTCAAGGGGGCAACTTTGAAGGCCCCAATAAGCGTCGTAGATATTAAACATTCTTTCATTCCTGGCTGTTTAGAACAAAAAAAATTCAGTGTATGCCTTTACACTTTTACCTGTTATCTGAAGAAATGGTTTTACTGTTAATGTATGTAGACTGAAATATTTTTCTTTTGTAAAACATGAGGTTTTTGTATTTTTCTTTATTCATAAGCTTTGTAGATTAGTGTAGTAATGATGCTCATCATTGTGGATGTTAAAAATGTGTTTGTGACGTTAGCTGAATTTAAGTATGCCACAGTACTGTGAAATCTATGTAGTTACTTAATCTCAATAAAGAAATCATTTTGGATAATTTTAAAATGTTACTAGTGGTAATTCTCTTATGGTTATATTAAACTTCGCTGTAACAATAATATTTTGATTGCATTAACTAATCCCAGCCATTTAAAAATTCAAAAGATTTTGCTTTTTAGTTTGTGCAAATAGCCCTGAAAATAAAAGCTTAGTGAAAGGTAATGTCAGTAGGGGTAGAATTGGGGGTGGGTGAGTTTTGGGAGTTTAATTTGTATAAATCATTCATTAATGTTCTGTGAAATTGAAGTTCTTGCCTACATTTCATATAGATTCTGAATATTCAAATATCCTAGGATTATTAAGGATATCTTTTGTCCTGTGCTAATTTTTTCAAATAAATCTTTTGAATCTTCAATAAACCTGTTTGAAGGCAAATCTCTTTTGCTTATAAAATGTGTAGTTTTAATCTTAATCTCCCATCATTTGTTGGGTGTCCGTATCTAGCTCTTACTCAATTATCATTGCACAGTTAGTGTTACGTTATTCTTTAAAACCTAACAATACAATTTATTGAGTTAGCTGGTAAGGATTTGCTATGTGTTTGATAGTGTATTTGGCATTTCTTGAGATGGTTGATTTCTAGAGAATTAAAAGATGGCTCAATTCTGCAGTGTTGTAGATATTCCCTCATAGTTTGATAATTCTCTCTAGTAAAACTTGTCTGACAGGCTAGGATTGTTAGTTTCCAAGGAATGCGGTTCTGGTGGTGACTTTTAAAAGCATAGAATCTCTAATCTGAGAATGTCTTGTATCATTGGAATCTGATTATATCCTTCTATCAAATACTTATTTTGAGTTTTAATACTATGAAAAAACTGATTTTTATCACATAATGTTTATTCTAAAACATAGTCATGCAGTTATATTTAAAGTGTTTTCACTTAAAATTACATTTAAGAAGTTATATTTAACTAATGCCACAAATTTAATTCATCAACCACTGATTATAGTATACTTATTTCTTACATCATATTTCAGTATGTTACTATATCATGCTTTAAGCACCTTGTGGAAACATAACATGCTATCTTAAATAAATACTGTAAGTAGTGCCTTTTATTTTTTCCACGGCGTCTGTTTTTGCTGGAAGGTATCTCTTGGGAAAAAATAAACTTGGTGGATTTAAAATATCACCTAAAAGCAGTTGGTTATGAAGTATAATTGAGATGCATTCTTTTGTATCAATTAAAATTTTCATATGTACAGTTTTATGTTCTATTATTTAGACACAGCAGTATGGATGGACTTTTTATTTATTTGCAGTATTGAAGGCTTTTGTTTTTGCACTTTGAAAACATTTGGAGACTGTAAAATAATAGTCATAGGGCTGTTCTCAATATGTTTCATGAGTGTGAGGTGGTGGGTAGTAGAATTTGTTTTGTGACTAATTGGGGTGCAGGGAGTTCATCACAGTTTTTAAGTGATAGCTCTTGCATTTAAATCTATCTTGCCCATCTTTATTCATATACTCTTTAGGTAAGCATTGTATTTCACTTTAAAGCCAAATTAAGATTCAGAGAATTTTGATATTTTGATGTTAATACCAAATTACCTTACTAAGGATGTGAAATAAGATTCCTTTAAGAATATTTGAAAGCTAGTGCACAAAGAGATGTCTTAATTTTCTGAACATTCTAGTGTCCGGGTTCAACTCTGGCTCCAAGAACAGAGTTCTACGCAGCTTTTTCTCTGCATCAAGAAAGTCCTTGTTCCAGTACTTATCAAGGTTACCCTGGGAGCAGTCAGCTTCTGAGTGACAGTCACGTGGAGCATCTCTGAACTCCTAGTTATTCAATATTTGGAGTTTTTGTAAAACAAGACAACTTTTTAAAGCAACTTTGTGGTTGGTGTAGTTAGTATTTTTCTTATGAATTAGTATACTAAGGAAGATTTTTGAATGTCATTAATTAAAGTGACAAAATAAAGAAATTTCAGTAGTGTTAGCTTTCTAAATAGTGGGAAATTGTCATATATGCTATCATAATTGTTTCCACAAAAAGATAATATGAGACGATTTTAATATCACAATAGTTCTCTTTTTGTGTGATGTTTTTGAAGTACTGAGTTCAAATTTTGCAGGATTTAGGATTCATGGTATTTGTAATTTAATATGCATAAAATAAAAGGATACCTATTTTCATAATTGTTTTATTCTAACAGTTTATTTCATCAGAATTCCCTCATTTTTGTTTATTTTGAATATAAATACATTGATTCTCATCTTGACAGTGCAGTTTTTTTTTAAAAAACTTCAATTCTATTCTTAAAATTCAATTTGTTATTTCTTGAGTTTTTTTTTGATTTTCTATCTGAAATTAGTGTTAAACATTCAGTGAAATAAATGAAATATTTGTTTTTAACCCTCAAATATCAGTAATATTAGGGTACAGTATCTGCTTTAGCTAACTCTGCTATTTAATAGAAATAGAAATTATCAGCAAGGGTTGACTGCAACTGACTGCAACTTTGGCTCTTGTTTCTCATATGCTGATGGAAATGACCCCTTTAATTATTTCAGAAACATATTTCTTGGTGTTTACATGTAAAGTTTATAATAACTGGTAAATATCAAATGAATGACTAATAGTCACTAATAAATGGGGGTTAGGTTGATAATTATAACAGATTCTGAACCAAAAAAAGACATAAACATGGGTGTGAATGTGTGATTGAAATGAGTAAGGTTTATGAAAGAATGTGATCAAATGTATGGTAAAAGCTTTGGAAATGTTGAAATTTAGTGTTCAACAGTGGTAGTCAAAAATAAAAGGGCCATGTCACTGAAATAAATAGAAGAACTTTACTGGGAAATCAAGTGGTATTAAAAGTTTGGTATGTTTTAAGAGTTTTGTTTCAACATATATTAAAATGCGTTCCTACAGTTTCAAAGGATAGCAATGATTTAAACAGTCAGACATTCTATTTTCAACAAGATGGTGTGCCCTCAATGCCTGTCTTTTGTGTCTACAGTTGTTCGTGTTTCCCTGTATGTTCGAAGCGATGTAGACATTTGTAGGTACGGGCTTTTTTGGGGAGTGAGAATGAGAAAGTGGGGAACTACTTTAAATTAAGAAACATGCTCATAATACTTTCTTCCTAAATATTTTAACATGTACCTCCTAAAAATACGAACATTTTTTTGTCAAATTCATACTGAAGAATATTATCTCCTCATATCAAATTTAGAAGTTCATCTATCAGTTCTACAGCCCAGTATGAATTTATTTCATCTTTAACAAATTATATGATTAAGTGAATTAGAATGGTCTTGTACATTGAGTTCATTTTACGTGTTTCCCACAGTGGTATAAAATGATGTGTTTTTACAGTTTCCCAAGTGTATGGTCCTGCCACGTAATTTTTAGACTATGACTCTGTGGAAATAATGAATTGCAGGAGAATACTCAAGAGTATCTAATCATTAAAGTCTTGAATTATAACATTAATGATCAAAGTTCGGAACTTCTCAGACAGTATTTCAAGAATCCTACCATAGAGCGGTGTTATCTTATGGTTTTATATGACCTCTTATCCTCTTTAAAACCATGTTTAGATTATATTTGTCATGGTTGAAACATAGTATTTGATTATATTTTTATTTACCTGGTGAAAGTAATATGTGTTTTCTCTATTTTATTTTTCCCTTTTGAATAACACAAGCCTGTTACTTCCAGATTGAAGAAAATGAAAATTTTAGTGTAATCAGAGGTTGTATATGTATATACATTTTTTTAAATGATTTTTTCAAGTATATTTATATTCATGTTTAATTGTCAGAGGGTGCAGGTGCTCTCCAGATAAAGAATCCCCAGTGTGGTATGGTCACACCATAATTCTTCTTTCTCTTTTTTTTTATTTTTTTATTTTTTAAATTTTTCTTTATTTCTCTATCCCATCAAGATTTTGGGCATGCATACTTACACTCTGGTGTGTTCTTCAGGCTGCTGGGACTTGGAGTCAAATGTGGTCAGCCAGGTGGTATCAGGCTCCTAATGAACAGAACCTAACCACTGGACTAAGTTTAATGGCTGGAGTCGTCATTACTCTACCACCATGTCCCCATGCAAGAGATCATATATTCTTTTGACTGTGCTTTTGAAAGAAAATCAGAATTACTCTTTTTAAATTTGTTTTTCTGGTTTAAAGAAATGACTTTAAAAGTCATTTGGTAATTGGTATTCCATTTGTATATGTATATTTCAGTTTCTTTTGTAAAGTATAATTATCCAAATTTTATTTGAAGCATTTTGGTCTTTGTGTTAAGGCTAGAATTAGTGCAATTAGGTAGAATTAAGAAGAAATGTACTTAATTCAAATATGTGCTTTTTAAGGCATTCTCCCCACATTTTAGCAAAGATTTAGTGAATAAGAAATTAATGGAGTAGAGGGGCTGGTTCTGTAACCTGGTGGTTAAGCGAACTGAATGCCATATGACTGAGGTTTGAATCCTGACGCTGATGGCTTGAAAAACTTCTGGTGTGTGTGCGTGCGCGTATTTGTGCACTTAAAATCTGAATGGAGAAATGGAAAAGGGATTGTGGTGTGACCTTGTTCCATTGAGAGCTTTTCTCTCTTTCTCTCGGTCTTTTTGATTAGTACATGCTCTCTGGCAGTTAGAACAATTAAAAAAAGATAAATACGCAGTCTTGGATTACATCAATAGCAGTGTAAGTGGTGCTTGCGTGTCTTTCATTTTTTAATGTTCTATATAAATAATTTGTAGGCTGAAATAGATATTTATACCTAAAATTTTTCTACTTCATTTATAACAGTTTCACATTTTTATTAATTTATATATTGTACATCTCGCATAAGGTAGAAACTACATGTATATGAGCTAGTGTGAAGAACTTAAATGAATAGCTACAGTCATTCATCTATTATGATTTTTCTGTGACTGGATCTCTAAGATAAACTTGTTCTAGCTTCTTTTATGCAAAAGCATTATGTTTTGTTTGTCAGCTGACCAGGTTTCTGTGAATGTAAATGGAATTTCATGTTTTTGT